ATATACACATATACACATATACACATACACACATACACACATACACACTGTATACGTCTGCTATAGTAAGTATAGCTCAAAGACGCTTCAGTTACTGAGTGCTTCCATAGTCCGCCGTCCGGGCAGCGTGCCGGTGTACCAACCGAGTTAGTGATAGGAGGGAGAGGCAGGCAGAAGGGACTTTTCGAGTTCCGCCCAAGTCCCTTCAAAGAGCATAGAAAAACAAGATCAAAACTATTTGCCTTTGTCCTTAGAAGAGGCTTGGGCGCGACGCGACTGTGTCGAAAGGTCCCGTCTGCCTCCCTCCCCCCTTCTAGCACTACCTCTGGCACGCCGGCTAACCGGCGGACTATGAAAGCGGCCACTCACCAACGGCAGCACGCAGAGCTTCTTGAGAAACTCCAGCCCTGGTTTTTTTGCAACGATTTCTCAGAAGCATCAACATTGGTGTTTTAAAGCGCAGGCTCTCCTCTCCAGTGTACACTATATCCACTGACCCACTGGTTGTATGCCGGAAAATTGGTAGACTGATTGGAAGCAGAGTTAAGATTGCGAGCATCCCTTCAACACCAATCTTGATTTCTTTTCATTCGTAGGCGAGTACGCGAGTGTTTCCAGATCGTATTCCTAGAATAATCCTCTGCAGCACCTCTCGAAAACTGTCTCTCATTAAGGTGTTCTCATTAATTTTTATTCCTTCTTGGAGAGAAAAGTAAGCGATATCGCTCTGATGGCAGATCCCAGCTAAAACCATCATAGAAAAGGAAAATTGGTGCGAGTCACTTGTAGTAAGAAACGCACGTGTAATCTGGGACCTGAACATTTCTTCCCACGTTATACAACTTCCCACGCTGGACACCTTTTTGTCAGAAAAGAAATGTGTCGAAACGCGTGCTGCGTGCAAATAGGGCCCAGGAATTGTACTTTCGCTCAAACTTTTCTCGTCAGGAAACTTATAAGGCTTCTAAAACCTATCAGGATACTATTGTATTTACTCGTGAAAGACTTTTCCCATCAAAGTAGGGCATGCATTCAACTCGGCAGCCATTTTCTCATGTTTCTGCAGGTTTCGTAGGGTAATCGTTTATAAAAAATTTTGTTCTGAGAAGGGAAGAGATTTACCGTTTTCCCGAAAACAGGCGAAATGAGAGCACCAAAGCAGATATGTAAGCTAAGGGATACCATAAGCTCAAGAGAATGTGCAGATTTGGAAAAACCCTCTAGACAAGGGAACTGAAGGCTTGCTTTAGTTTGTTGCCATATTCATAGCGCACCCTGTATATAAGTCGCTAAGTGTGTTGGTTTGTCGGTGTGTTTGTGTATATGTGTCGGTGTGTGTTTGACCGGAAATTCACACCTCCTGTTCCCGTGAACCTATAGTGCTTAAATTTGGTGAGAGTACGCGTGGCAGGATGGGAACACTCATGGCAGTAGCAGGACCGGACTCCTCCCACAAGGGGCGGGGCGTGAGCGACAGAATTTTTCGACCGCAAATCCATAACTCCTGATTCCGTGGACCGAGGGTGTTCAAATTCGGAAGGAATGGGAACACTTTTACTGGGTACCACGGGTATAGGCGGCAGAATGGGAACACTTTTGGTGGGTACCATTCCGCCCACAGAGGCGGGGTTTGCGCGAAATGAATGGTTGAGCGAGAATTCATAACTCCTAATTCCATGGACCCAAAAAGTTCAAATTTGATTGAATTGCAGCTTTTCGTATTAACAGTGGAACCTTGGCAATTTAATAAGTGATGTAGGGTATGATGGGATCGTAGATTCGGTGACAGGAACCATTAATAACTAATATGAGAATAAGGGGTATGAGAGAGCAAAAGTCACGTACCGATCAAAATTCTAACGTCTCCGCTACTTACGATGCAGCTTTGACTGTTCAGTATGTTTCTCTCGATAAAACGGGATGGTAGAGTGTGGTGGCAAAAGTGAGGGGTAAGTGCATTGACAGGGACCCAGGATCGACACTATGATAAGCGGATGAGAATTTTGTTTATTTCTTGCTAATAGATTACGACCGCTACCCAGCAAGGTTTGTGACTCAATGAAGGATCCTCTTTGTTCGATATTATTTGCGACAAAATCTAACCGACCGCCAGTCATATGGAGTTCTCAACTAATGATATCTCTGTAAGGAAAAAGGTCCTTTGATAACGACATCTGGTAATGGTGTTATCATCACTCGAAACATTTGTGAGTACCGCCCAAGGCTTTAGTTACTAAACAGTTGAACCTTTATTGGGTTTTTAAAAAAGAAAACGGAAAACGAGAATTCGAATTGGAGGCGTAAGCACCAACATGCATTGAATACCATTTGCAGTGCTCCGATTATTTGTTTTAAAGAAGGAAAGGAAAATGCCGACCATTACAACCTTACCGAAGGAGGGGGGAAGCCGTGCGTCAGGTTGAGAGGGACGAAACGACTGGTATATATGTACATATGTATATATAAACATACAAACACACATGCAGACAACCATACGCACACGCCCATTTACACACACCCCTACGCACATCCACACACATACAAAACACACACAGCGAATTACACAAATTAAAACAGTATAGCTGTTGCTAAATTTTCTGAATGCTTTCAATGAATCGTACAATTCATTTACTACATAGCGCTTATAATCAAAGCTGTCATTGCTGCTAACGACATGCTCTAAGGAACTTCTTGAATGAGGGGAATTGCATGTTTTTGTAGAGATCCGCGTGCTTAGTTGAGGTAGGTATGGGTTCATAAGTGAGATAGGGGGTTCGCCGATCTGAGGGTAGGATCAGTTCTCTGATCATTGCAGACAGCGCCTCTTCACGAATGTTACATTCAGCATCATCTTATTATCATATTATTATTTTCAATAATAGTTGCTTTCTGACCTAAAGTAGGGGGTGCTCACTGATTGAAATGAGGTTCCCCGGCCAAATTACTGGTTTGCTTGTTTGGGTGGACCTATTCCTAGTTTGCTCTGCAGTTATTGAGTTGTAAAACATAATACTAATTGTGGTATTAGTAGTTTGCTCAAGAGTTGGTATGCCGTCTGACATCGTGGATATCTTTTACTATCACTATACCAGCATGTAAGAACTGCTTCTCGACTTGCTTGCGTGAATACAAATGGACCGGTCCTTTTGTAGAAAATGTAGGCTTAATCGGAAGTCGAATTGTAGTGCAATCTGTTAGAAAGATGGGCAAAACCAAATGTTCTTGTTTTCAGCATCGCGTCGAGCACTGGCAAGCAGACATGAATAATTCTAGCAATCTTGACTCTCCACTCGCCATTCTTCGCCTTGCTCGTAATTGCTCTCGACCTGTGATCATTCACGACTGCCTCGGTAAGAGTTTGCAATGGCAATTTGAAGCCTATCGAACTGAATGGTAGTTTTTTGATTGCACTCGGAGCTGTTTATGATCGTTGAATGGTGGATTTCTTCCGCTGTATTGCAGGTATTTCACGTGCAGCGTGTGTAATTGCAACTGAACTAGCCATCTGTAACATCATCAAAGGTCCTACTTACAAGGTAAACAAGTTTCACGCATACTTTTCTGAGCGTAAAACGTTTCTTAAACGTCAACTTCTCTTCAGCATCCCATCCAAAAAGCAGTTCATTTTCTTCGCCTCCAACGCCCATTTTCGGTGGAAACTCCCATGCAATTTATTTTTATTCATCGATGTGTTCAAAGGTTCTTCAGTAAGATCTCAGGGCTAGCGCGACGCATGGAAGAGGATTATCAAAAGTACGGCGCTTGTACAATCGTGTTATCATATCTTTGCTAATAATCGTGATTGACAGATGGCTGACAGAACGAGCTGAGCGAATGTTTTTGGATAGTCTCGACTCATCGGTAGGTCCTTACAACTCTTAATGGTGACTTCATCGCCAGTTCGCTTCTTTGAAATATTCGAAGGTGCCTGGTTATCGATTGCTGTCTCCTCGTGTTGATCCGGATCTCCTGAGGCTTGTACGACGACCGCCAAGACCGAATTCTCGAAGGTCCCCTAATGCGTTTTCGTTTTTTATTTTTCTGTGCTGACATAATTCATCCTTCAGGGAAGCACCAGATTGCGTTGGAGAGCTGCCAATTTCTCTAAGTCCGGCAAACGTGCTTTCGCATGCTAGAAGAGCACTAAAGACTTGATTTGTATTTTCATCAGAAAGTCTATTCTTATAAATATTGAGAATTAGCAGCTCTTCGAGAGATAATAATCTATGATGCCTTGTTTTGTGTAAGTATAGGCATGCTTTGTTGTAATGCTAGCACTTGTACATGCTTCTACGACTTGGTATTGAAGAAAGAATAGGTGGCAGAAACATTGCATAAAAAGACCCCAATCTTCTTCCGGAATCAGCACAGAACGTTGAACCCTCGCGAGTCCAGCGGACACGGTGTGGACTTTGCAATTGTAATCAGGTGAGCACGTTTATCCCATCGAAATGCTGAATATTACGGCGTTATACCCGCCGAATTCACTTGACTGCTTGACTTTTCTTCTCATTCGTCATTAATGCAGAAATTACACTAACGATCTGGAGTGAAATATATCGGAATGATCTTGCAAATTTTACTTATGGTGTGAGTTCCTTCTAGGAGTCTATTTGAAGTTAAAGTTTGTTCAATATAGAAATGTGCGATGGGGTGGTCTGTGCTCGTAGCGTCACGCTAATTTCAGTTCTATGCTTATAGTAAATGTAGCGAGATTTTAGGTCTTCGGTGGGTTCAGCCGCTTATGCTTGGTGTTGTGCGCCCATTCTCGTATGGTCTAGAAATGCTTGTTACTTCTGCTTCTTGCATTTCAACTTATACTCCATTCAGCAGTCATTGTCATTGTTATATCGTATTGTTTTTAATCGTAAAATACTTCAAGTAATGATAAATGATGGTAGGTATAAAAGTAATGTCTTGTTTCCATGGGACTTTTATTGAAACATGTAACATGTATGAACAGGATTCGAATGTTGTTTACAATCATGAAATCGCAGTGTTTAATGAGTAACCGATGCAGGTTTACAATGGTTGGGCTTGCTTGGGGGACGGTACGAACGTGCGTCCGAGGGTGCGCGCGGCAAATTGCGCGGCGAAGTTCGTGACGATTTGTACGACTGCGGTGCCAATTTTCGGGGCACAAACTCGAAGTAATGTAGTTTAATAGGGTCAGATGATACTCTTAATCCACTCTATTTCAAATTTGGGTCCCATTGATAGGCACCAAAATCGTCCAAATCATTACGAACTTCGCCGCGCAATTTGCCACGCGCATCCTCGGACGCACGTTTGTGCACATACCCGGCTTGCTTGAAGACAGTGTGGGTTCAAAATGCGACCACTCCTTCGGAGCAAAGCAAGCGTCGGTGTAACGAGGTGTAATGCTCTTGACTCGTTTTCGCTCTCAATGCCGAGGGTGTGGGTTTGCTCTACATCACTGCCAACTTTTTTGCACAGCGTGGTTGATTTACGGTGGAAGTTTCTACCTGGTTTTCTGACATTCATTCAAATAATCTACTTGATTCAGCTATAACTTGCCGAAATATTTCTGCATGTTTATGGATCTCTTTCAGTCTCAACATTGAAGGGAAAGTGAGATCAGGACTCGTGTCATGAACGTGTCAAAATTTCAACATCGATGAAACAAACTGTAATGCCTGTTGAGCAAAGATGTAGCTCACTAATGCTGCAGGAAGAAAAACGTTATGATGTGGATTAGCAACTCGTGAACAATGCGGTCTCCATTAAAACCCAACTCTGTCATAGCCAACTTTTCAACAGAGAAAGAGAATATAGTCTACTTTTAAATATATTACATATATCGAAGGGATGTTCGCATTTGTTTGATAAGAGTCGGCATGTCAGTGCGCACTATGTGGCAAACATATTTGCATCTCATTTTACACATTTAGAAGGTCTCATTACTTGTCATGGTTTTGTCTCTTGAAGGTTGTTCAAAGGGAACTGCTGTTCTCTACAATGGACAAAAAAGAGCTACACAACTCTCGCGCAAAGCCATTTTGGCTTTTGTAAGCGCAACAAATGTAAGTGATAACTGGCATAAGGGATTTATCCTATTAATCATCTGAAAATGAAATGAAAGAACTCTCCATGAGAAAAAAATCAAACTATGCAGATAGGCTAAGATGACGATTTCAAATCCCCTTTTTCGACCTGAAAAAGTGATCGCTACCACCAAGTCATGGTGAAGCTTGCTTTCCAAGATGAAATGTGCATTCCAAACCAAAATCGACGTCAAGCAAGCGTTGAGCCTTTTACAAGAAGAAGTTCGAGAGGAATAACAAATGTCGTGCCCAATCCGTACGCGAGACGCGTTTCCACACGCCTTGCCTAGAGTAAAAGGTGTTCGGCGTGAGAGAAATACAGTGCGTCGCCAAATGATACAGCCACCCCTAATTTCCCCAAAAACTCACAGTATTTTATGTTTCTGAAAAACTGCCAAAGTAAAAAATGTGTCAAATTTGAATTGCAATTCGCACATTACCACCAAATTCCAGCTC